AAAAAAAATAAAATTTCTCCAATGTATCCTTATTGAAAATCAACTGATACTTAAGTGAAAGGATTTGTGTGTCCTTGTGCCAATATTGAAGACCGGCAATATAGAAAGGTTAAATCTGGACAAGTAATAGAAAGGTTGATAGTTCTAATCCACCAGCTGTTCTGCAAAAGAAAGACTTGGTGATGTGCTTCCAGAACAAAATGTGGTGATGTGCTTCCTAGAAAATCCTATGGGGCAGTTCTACTTTGTCTCATGGGCTTACTGTGAGTTGTAGTTGACTTAATAGCACTTAACAACTATCACATGCCAATAGATTCCTTAATTACTGTAGATTTACATTAAGTTTTGAAATAACATAGCTTAAGCCCTCCTAGTTGTTCCTCTTTTCAAAATTGTTTTGAATATTTTGAGGTAATTCCATTTTAAATTTTAATAACATCTTTTCAGTTTCTAAAAAATCAAGTGCTGGAATAATTAGAGGAATTGTCTTAAATTTATAGAACAGTTAGGGGAGAATTGCCATTTACACAAATTGGAATCGTCCAATCCATTATCATTGTCTTAGTTTCATAGCTCTGCCTAAACAGAAATACTAAAAGTGTTTTAAAGAACAGAAATTCATTTTTTCACAGTTCAGGAGGCTAGAACCGAATCCAGGTTCTATCTTTATGGGATAGCATCTATGTTTGCTCTGGGGGGAAATTTTTGTCTCTTTCAGTTTTTATATATAAATTACTTTTATTTATTTTATTTTTATTTTATATATAAGTTACTTGGTTCCTTTGCAGTCTTCCCATGGCGCGTGTTTTCTCCCTATTTGTGCCTCCTTGACTCTGGTTTTGTACTACTCCTTATAATTCAGAAATAATTAGATTTAGGATACAAGGAAGCTTCAGAAAGTTTGTGAAAATATGGAACTAAAGATAATTGAAATTTTTTAAAGCGTTTTTTACTTTTATTACTCAATTTATTATGTGAATTGAGTGATAGTTTACATGGGAGAACATGGGTTTTGCACTCATTCTAGTGTATTTTGTTTCACTGCAATGATTACAATCCCCTCCATGCATCATCATTTGACAATATTTGCTTCTATTCCTTCTGTTTTTGTTTGTTTGTTTGTTTTTGATGTACCAAAACCACTCAGAAATATATAATCATTTAAACAACCAAAGGGCACATTCTGCAAGCCTGCCTCTTGGCTGCCAGCACACAGTCTTTCTCTTTCCATACCATCATCTCAGCTGTTCTCTCTCTCCATGCCATCATCTCTGCCTCCATCACTGGTGTCGCTGTTTCTCTGGTTAGGGTCCCATATTCCGCTCATGCTCGTCTTTCTTCATGGCCCTAGGGTCCTCTGTTCCTGGGATGTAAGATGAACTTTTCAGTAATGTTTATTTTTCCATGACTAAGTATTGAATATGGAGTCCTGGTGTGGTGCTGAACTGCCAGCCTTGTGGTTCAAAGTCCAATGCTGATCCTACAGCAACCTTAGAGTATATATTTATGGTCAGTGAAGGATAATTTGGGATACTTCAGAAAATATAACTGCTATGTTTCATTGTTGTCTTTTAAACATTATTTACTTTTTATAAAATCTTAGATTACTGTAAAACAATAATCAAATCTTCCTTTATGAGTATATTTGCTGTTTCCTTGTTTTTAAAGCAGTGTTTGCTTTTTAAAAAGTGCTAGCCTGAATTAGTTAAAAACAATAATCAGATCTCCCTTGCTTACTATGATTACATGTAAGTGTGTTATGTAATATGGCTAGTTTTCAGTAAGCATGTAGTTTAAATTGCTGTCACTTCCAAATGTGTGATGTTAATTCTACATCCCTGATTTGAAACCTTTCTGAGCCACAATGCAAAGATTGCTTATTTACACTGTGTGTTAATGGGAGACACAACATATACTGTCTACTATTCTGACTAAAGGGCTGTTAGCAGAAAGAATTTTAATTCAAGGTTTTAAATTCATGTGTAGGCATGATTCCAAATAAAACCTTGGTAATTTCTAAGAAAAACTCTTAAGAATTTTGATATACATTTATGAAATTATTTTATCTTGTCTCTCAAAAATCCTCTTTATAGATTTCAGGAGATGAGGTATATAAAGAACAGTAATTTGGTCCTTAGACAATTAATTCAACAACCAAATACTCAGCCATGTTATCTTTCTTATAAAAGAACCTGTTATGGCGCGATAGGATAAGCACTCAACTACAGTGTCAGTTTGAACCACAACATCAGCGGCTCAAATCTACCAGCGATCCTCTGAAACCCTAGACAGGATCTCTATGAGTTAGAACTGATTCAATGGCACTTAAGAACAATAGGCATTTACTATAGGTATGGCTAAGTAGCTCTCCATTATTTAATAATTTTAAGAGAATCTAGAAGAATGATGATGATGATGATGATATTACATTTTGTGAGTGTGCCAGGCAATCAGTGAATGTTACTTCACACACTTGTTTCATCCTTATACATTCTCTATAAAGTAGACCCTCACAGTTGTCTACATTTAAGTGTAAGGGAACTGAAACACAGAGAGTTACATGTTAATAATGAAAATGAGATTCAAAACAAGCAGTTGTGTTTCATAATCTGTGCTCTAAATAACTATATTACATTACCACTTTAAAAAGCTAAAATGCATATAATATAACCTTATATTGTCAGTACTTTTTAATGCTGCAGTTGAAACTACTTTCAAAATTTCATTATTGTTATTTTGTGTATGTGTGCTTGCTTACCATATACATATATATAGATATATAACTGGCTGACTAAAATTTCCTATATTCAATTGAAAAGGATTGGAAAGGATTGGTATTTTTTCAAACCCAAAGGGAAATAAAATGGTTAGCTCTTACAAATTTCTCTTTAAAAAAAAAAAAGGAGGTAATTATTTCTATTCTTAGGATATTGTAATAGCCAAATGAGCCTGTATTTACAGTAATTAGCACTTTTATAAATATCAATTTCACTTACAACCTTTACATTTTAAATGTAATTATTTCTCCTAATCCTGATGTTTGTAATTATATAAAATAAAGTTTAAAATATTTTTCCATATTGTACCATTATTTTTGGTGTTTGTGCTTGTACACACAAAATTTACATAAGTGGCATGCTTTAAAAATCATTTAAATTTATTGGGTTGTATTTAATGTATCTTTTATAAATTTTCTTGAAGTACAAATTTCCAATACAAGGAAGAAACAAACTTGTATGGATATGTCATTGGGTAGTAACTTAAATTCATTGAATATAAATTGCATATTTTAAAATATATACAGTTTTTTTTAATACCTTTCTACCATGAGTAACTGAAATTTTGTTTCAGAGCTATGACATTTTGAACCTCAGTGGATTTCAAATGCCAATTACTAATATATTTATAGATTTTATCAAGTCATAAAAATAAAATGTTGACTTTACATTCAAATTTTAATTTTAATACTTCAAATTAAACCTTAAAGTGACATTTAGATAAATTTTCATCTTTAGAAACTGATTTCAGAATCTTCATGAATTGTTAATGTTAACCAAGTACTTGTGGGTGACACCCTTGGTTACTGCAGTAATATATCTTAGACACTGCATTGTGTTGCTCCATTTCTTAGCTACAGCTCAGTTGTGGCTTTAGGTTTCTCATTGTTTTCCTTATATCAGTGTGCACCAGTGTAACACTGAACAATCTGTTAAGAGATTTTGACTTGAGGTGAAGCAAAGAGTTCGTGGGGACCATTACTACAAGTCTCCAAACACTTAAATGTTACTTGAAGTGTTTCTATTGTAACCATGCAACCTCCTGTGGTGAATATGACTGACTGCTCTTTGTTCTTACGTATTTTTAAGCAAAGTAAAACAGCGGTTCGGATGAAAGAAGATATGAAAAAGATAGTGGCGGTACCAGTAGATGAGCAGAGGGATTCTACCTACACGAAGTTATTTGGAGTCAGCCTCCAAGAACTTCACCAGCGGGGCCTCACTGAGAATGGCATTCCAACTATAGTGCGGAGCATAGTGGAGTACTTGGCACAGCATGGTAAGTTGAGATTTAATTCTATTTATTTCTTCCACTTCTCACATGCAGAGAAAATCTGTTTGTGTTACCTACTTCATAAATTATGAATGGACTATTCTCTAAAACACCTTAAGTAAAATATCAAATTATTGTATAATCATTGTTCTCTGAAAAACCCAAAAGACCCCTCAAGAGCATTAATTCTGAATACCATTATTTTGACAGCACTAATTTGTTAAACCATAAAACAATGCATTAGTTATTGAGGCTTCTAATGTGGAATGATTCACGATTTTAAGCGCTGAATAATTTTAAGCGCCAATAATTTTCTACTATTAGTAGTGAGCTCTCTGGGTTAACTAAATTTGAATTGATAGTGGTTTTTTATGGAATCGAACGTTTTTTTGAGTATTCCTTTTAACTCAGGCCAGTCATGAACTTAGTGGATAGATTGGATTATGTTCATGAGCTAACTAGTGTTATCACTGTGTGGGCCGTTTACTTGTGCATTGACAAAATTAAGCATGCAAAACAATAAGATAAGTGTAGTACATTTGATAATAAAAAGTTAAACTGTGTCTACTCTGTCAGAATTGATGGAACAGCAACAGGTTTGTCTATCTACTTAAAGTTATGTAGCCTATAACAACAGTCAGTGAGAGAGTGGTACCCTACTTTTTCTTTTCTTTTCCTTCTGGTACTGATCTGTGAAAGGAATTGATCACCAGTCCTTTCTATAGTAGGTTGTTGTTGTTGTTAAGTGCCTTCGAGTCGGAGCCGACCCATAGCGACCCTGTACAGGGTACTGATCTATATATTCAATGGTTTTTATTTTAAACCATCTACATGCAGTTCTTCCTTTTGTTGGTCCTTGGTAACTTCAATGAGCAAGATGTTAAGGCACAGTTCTACAATAGAGCAGAGCTATATGATCCAGGCATGTAGCTTTTTGATCATTTTATTTAAAACAGGACTTAAACTGGCTGACTAAACAGATTGATTCCATATCTCCTAGATCTATATTTTTCAAAGGAAACCAGTGTGATGGGAGACCTCTAAACTAAATTAAAGAAAAAAGAAAATCAATCTTCAAAAGATTTGTTGTTAAGTGCTGTCGAGTTGGTTCTGAGTCATAGGGACCCTCTATAGTGTTTCCAAGGAGCCTCTGCTAAATTCGAACTGCCGACCTTGTGATTCAATCTTCCTGTCTAGTGCTTACCCCACAGTGTCTTGAAATATTTGGGAGGGCAATATTCTGAAGGAAAAGTTTGAAACTTTCATCATTCTTATGTGTAAATAAACATAAGTTTATTGCAAAGTAGAATATAAAAGTTGTGAGGATTTTCCAGAGAAAAAACTTGAGACTTCAAAGAAGTTCTATTCTTTATGCACTTTGCTTCAAACACCTTATCTTCCCAAGAATACAAATCCATTCCCTCTGCCAGCAAGTCTCTTACATTGAAAATGTTCACATGTTCTCTGTTGTTTTTTTTAAGTGCTGTTGAGCAGTAGGAACTTGAAAGAGGCTTTATGCGTTTGAACTGCAAGGTCGGTGGTTCAAGCTCACCAGCTGCTCTTTGGAAACCCTATATTGGGTTGTTATGAGTCAGAACCAACTCGATGGCACTTAACAACAATAACAACATACAGAAATAATTGAGACCTCAGATGTTGTTGTTGTTGTTATTAGGTGCCATCGTATTAGGTTGTTGTTATTAGGTGCCAGTAGGTACTAACCCATAGTGACATTATGCACAGCAGAATGAAACACTGCCCAATCCTGGGCCAACCTCCCTACTGTTGCCACGCTTGAGTCCATTAATGCTGCCACTTGCCCAATCCAACTTGTTGGGGGTCTTCCTCTTTTTCACTGACCCTCCACCTTACCAAACATGATATCCTTTTCCAGCAACTGGTCCCTTCTGACAATATGTCCAAAGTATGAGAGATGAAGTTTGGCCAAGGCCTCTAAGGTACACTCTGGCTGCACTTCTTCCAAATCGGATCTATTGGTTCTTTTGGCAGCCCATGGCACTTTTCAATATTCTCCTCAAACACCATAACTGAAAAGCATCAATTCTTCTATGGTCTTCCTTTTTCACTGTCCAGCTTTCACATGCATATGAGGTTATTGAAAATACCATGGCTTGGGTCAGGCACACCTTAGTCCTCAAGCTGACATCTTTACTCTTCAACACATAAAAAAGTTCCTGTGCAGCAGATTTGCCTAATGCAATACTTCGTTTGATCTCTTGACTACTACTTCTGTGAGTGTTGATAGTTGATCCAAGAAGAATGAAGTCCTTGACAACTTCAATCTTTTCTCCGTTGATGAGAATGTTGTTTATTGTTCCAGTGGTGAGGATTTTTGTTTTCTTGACATTGAGATGTAATCCATACCAAAGGCTGTGCTCTTTGATCTTCATAAGTAAATGTTTCAAGTCCTCTTAACTTTCAGCAAGCAAGGTTGTATCATCTGCATATTGCAGGTTGTTACTGAGTCTTCCTCCAATCCTGATGCCACGTTTTTCTTCATAGAACCCAGCTTCTCGTATTATTTGCTCAGCATACAGGTTGAATAAGTATAGTAAAAGAATAAAACCCTGTCTCACACCTTTCCCAATTTTAAAACATTCAATGTTCCCATGTTCTGTTCGAACAAGTTCCTCTTGGTCCAGGTACAGACCTCAGATGCTCAGGTATTATTTCTATTTTTTAACAAAAGAGGTTCTGTGTGTTCTAGTGGAGTCCTGGTGTGGTGCTCTTATTGTACCCTGTTTAGGGTTTCCGAGGAGTGGCTGGTTAACCTGAACCTCCGACCTTGCGGGTCAGAGCAGCCTTGCAGGCCAACTCATGAAGCTGTTGTTACAAAAGAATTTTAGGAACAAAGGGGTGTAAATCATTACCTGTATCAGGGACCAAAGGAGCTCTGGTGTTGCTATAGGGTAAGCATTGGACTTCTAACTTCAAGAATGGTTCAGAACCACCAGCTATGGGAGAAAGATGAGGTTGTCTGCTCCGGTAAAGATTTACATTCTCATAGCACTGTAGGATAAGCACTTCACTGTGAGGTAATGTTTTCAAACCCATCAGCCCCTCCTCTGAAACTCTGTACAGGGCCGCTTTGGGTTGGAACAAACTGAACAGAACTTAAAAACAACAACAACCCTTTATAGGATCACTAGGAATTATACACACATTGGCACTTACCAACAACAACAAAAAGTAGTTAAGTTGTTAAGTTGTCCATTGACTCCATGCACTGAGTTTGAGTTTTTGAGTTATCAAGGCCTTTAAACAAAATTATTTTTTTCTTGAAAACAAACAAAACACAGTTATTTATTTTGCATTTCAGAGGAAAATCTTGTTTAAGTGAGTAGTCATATCATGTTTATACTATTTTAAAGATCTAATCTTGATGACACCTGGTGTGGTGCTGTAAGATAAACACTGAAGTACTAACCTCTAAGTCAGCAGTTCAAACCCACCAGACCTACCAAGCACTTGTCAGAAATCCTATGTAGGGTCGGTATCATGCAGAACTGACTTGACGACACTTACAACAGTCTTGTTGAGGATGTTGATCGATGTGCTCCCTTTTCTTAGTGTGAAGGTGGTGTGGTTGTGTGCCATGGAGTTAGTCTCGACTCATTGTGACCCTGTATAGGCATTCCAAGGCTGTAAGTCTTAATGGGGACAGAAAGCTTCATCTTTCTTCTGTGGAGCGAATGGTAGCTTCTAACTGCTGACCTTTACAGTTAGCAGCCCAACTCATAACCCACTGTGCTACCAGAGTTCCAGTGTTGGGATTATTGTTACTGTTGTTGTTAAGTGCTGTTGAGTAATTTCCAACTCATACTGACGCTGATTCGGGTTTCCAAGTAGCAGTTGGTGGGTTTGAACTGCCAACCTTGTGTTTCCCAGTCCAGTATTGATCCTACAGTGTGGCACACCAGGTGTCTGATTGTTTTAAATACTGTTGGATTCACCAATCACCACTAGGTGTCAGAAGACACTTACAGATAGTTGTACTCTTTTCTTTGCTTAAGTGCGATCAAGTTGGTTTTGATTCATTGTGACCCTGTGTAGGGTTTCTGAGGAGCAGCTAGTGGTTTAAACCACCAACCTAAGGGTTAGAAGTTCAATGCTTATCCTAAAGCCACACAAGGACTCTAATTTGTAGGATAGTTTGTTTTAAATGATATATTCATACTACTTAAAAATAAATATTTCAATTATACAAAAAAAAAACACCCCAGCTGTTAGTAGTGTAGACATTATTTAACTTAAATGATTTTCTTTTACTCTAAACCACTAAAGTTACTGTTTTATGATCATTAACCAATGGGCTGAAATTAAAAAAAACAAATTCTGAAATGTATGAGGATAACTCCATTCAACTCAGTTCAATATTCCCTTCCTTGAATTTTCCTTTGATAATCATAACTTTAACAATTTAGAGTATGAAGAGGCATTTAAAATAATATAGTTTGATAAACAAGCTCATAGAAACAGTGGGTGTAAACTTTTTAAAAGATCATAAGAGGCCTTTTCAAACTGTATGGATTCTTTCCCGTAAAGCTTTGTAAATCCATATCCAGGGTTATACTTTCGAATCACTAAACTGTTGCAACAGTACCTTGATAGGAAACTGCCAGAAATTCAAACCTGATTCAGAAAAGGACCTAGAAGGACAGATATTATTGCAGATACCAGATGAATCTTAGCTAAAAGCTGAGTGATACCAGAACAGTGTTTTTGCCTGTGTTTTATTGACTATCAAAAGCATTAAACTTTGTGGATCATAATGAACTATTGATAACACTGAATAGGTAATGGGCATTTCAGAACACTTAGTTGTGCTTAGGTGGAACCAAGAGGCACTTGTTCAAACAGAACAAGGAGATACTGAGTGGTTTAAAATCAGAAAAGGTATGCGTCAGGGTTGTAACCTTTTACTATATTTGTTCAATCCATATGTTAATCAAATAATATGAGAAGCAGGACTATGTGCAGAAAAA